GCGTTTCAGAAAAATCTATTATGGAGTAAGATATTGGGCAATATAGCAAAACAAATTTATATGTGAGCCCCTATACTACTACCTAACCTGTAGCCCCTTAAATAAAATTTATATATCAAAAAAAAAAATCACGACTTTAGATTGGAATGTAGCGTTTATTTTGAGCCTTACAACAACATATGACCATTTTAATTTATTATCTCTCGCATTTATCTAATCTCCATTTATTTGATAGCTAATCGCTTAAATCTGCTTAATTTCTAATCATTCTTTTTCTGCTTTTACAGTTCACTGTTGATGGCGCCAACATTTCGCATTCCACACTAAGGTAACTTATCATTGTTTACCATCAAGATTTTATGCATAATTTAATTTCGAATTATAACTGGTCAAACCCCCCCTAAAGCAGCACTAGACAAAAGAAACTTAATTTGTTATAAAAGCGTAAACCAATCGCTCCATCAGATATCAACAAAGCCTTGCCGAACTGGTTTGGTTTTACTATTTTGCTGGCGCTGTTGGGTGTTTGTTTTGTTGGGGAATTCCGAAAATCAATACATACCTGAAATTTTATAGCACCTTATAAAATTAATAGCGAACACTTAATTTAGCTACGTCAAAGTGGGTTAAAATCGAAAAGTGGGAGTTATTAATTTATTGAATAATATGTACGATAGAAATATCTTTGCTGTCAAACCCAGTTCAAGGCCAAACTTTTTTAGTAAACAAAGATAATTTTTACTCCGAAATTATTTGTATTCTACCCAGAAAGACAATAACAAAAGCCCGGTTTTAGCTCAGCAGTATCCTCCTGTTGCCGATTTGGCAACACAGTAGTTCCAGCTTTCAGTTGTTTAGTAGCTTTTTAAGCAGCTTTTATACAAAAAGATAGCGCTTCTGCTTTCAAAAATAGAAATAACAAGTTGTGATTATGTTTAATAAGCATTTAGCCTTGGCATAACAATCATCTTGATATAATATTAATATTCTCCGCCCATATGATAAACATATCAATGCTGAAATCACTAAAAATATTCATAATGGTACTCAATGATGTATCGATAAATATCGTTCAAAATATTTAAATCTGTTATAAGAGGGTCACGAATCCTCGCTGTTTTACAAGACGAAAAGTTTTCTCGTCATTCCATCCGGTCCAGGGGACATGAAATTCTTGAAAGAGTCAATTACGCAGAGCAGTCGGCGCCTCTGCAGTAGTTCACCGGAGAAGGTAAGGCAGTCGCCCCTTCCAACCAACACCGTTGGGCTCACACGGTGCAGAATTTTCTGGGAAATGAGTGTCAAGTAGTAGCTTAAGCGATTCCTCTCCACTCATCGCCCAGTTGCCCTCTTCGTGCACCAAGTATGCCAAGGGTGCGGTATTCCTCGCAAGAAATCGCCTAAATCGAGATTATTCATTACAACTTTCTACGGATTCGCAGAAATTTCTCTATGACTCGCTTTTGGCCTTTTTTATCTCGAACTTACAGCTGCCAAGTCCAATCTTATAGAGTTCCCAGTCGGAGTGTTGTCCGCTCTTCTTGGCTTTGTTGAAAAGGCGCCTACTCGACGCCCTGAGCTTTGAGAGTTCCACCATGCACCATTTTGGTCGGATTTTGCCCCAGGGCCTACTCAGCGGGCATGAGCTTTCGATGGCACGCTTACAAGCTGATGTAAACTTCTCCACCAAACCATCAATCGAACATTTGGTGCTTAAGCTCTACTGAGGAAAGGAGTGCTCATTAAGAACACTCCAATCGGAAACGCGGGATATTACAGAAGACGAGGCTAGGATAAGGTCAAGGACCTCTTGTCTAGCCGCGGTCATAAAGGTCGGTTCGTTTCCTCTATTAGAAATACGTAAGTCCTCACTTAGAATATAATCAAAAAGCGACTCACCTCTTGCATTGATATCTGAGCTTTAATATAGGAGAATTAAAAAAAGGAGTATGTATGTACACACATTTACCAATCCTCTTTCACAAATTGCCCTTTTTAACGCATGACCAAGTAATTATCGATGTTTTAGACTTACATAAGTACTATGTGTGTTTGGAAACTTTTTCTACAAGCATACAAGTTAGGGAAATTTTGCTAACGTTCACTGAAATTGCTAGCATTCACAGTTTCTCCGAATGGCCAGTGCCTTCGATTTTGTGGAAAAATTGATTGTCAATAGCAAACTAAACCAAACGACAACCATATATGCAATAACTACGAGATTCAAAAATCAAAAGCCTGCAAATACGACAAAGCTTCAGGAAATTAGAGTAAAGACCACTGTAATGAAGTGAAATTCCTCTGAAAGTGCTGGCAATTGGCTGTGCGCTTCCAGGCAAAACTAGAAGTGGACTAATGAAAATACAAATGGTTTTCGCTGGAATATCAGATATTATCCGCAGTATATGAAAGGCAGTGGGACCTAAAAGCATACAACATAAATAAGTAACAGATGCAATGTTTAGTCAGCCTATTTTGGGTAGTGTAAGGGACATGCAAGTAGACGTTGCATGTTATTAGGCGCGCCTGCTGTTCTTTTTGAATTTTGTGTCGTTCAAAATTAGCGATAGCTATTTTTTCTGCTGCTGTTGTTGGTATCTCCAAACCGCTTGCACTTGTCAATGAATCTGCTTAAATACGTTAATGAATAAAAATGTAAAGGTACGTTTGAATAATAGTTTGCGTAAAGAATTTGCTCATGGTGGCTCATAAGTTGTACGTGCCAATGCTGAGCACTCGCAAAAATAGTAGAAGACTCTTTATCTAGTTTCTTCGAGATTACAGCTATAGCTCCGAGAGTTGTCTCATGATCGTGGCTATTAACCTTGAGAGTTTGTTGTCTCCTGATTACTCCTCCTGAACAGTTTACCCTCTACACTTCAGATAAGTCGGACAAGCCAGCCTTCCCGTTATCCTCTTTTTTTCTAGAAGCGGAGACGCAGGCAAGTGAGATATTCATTGAAGTGCTACTTGGCTATCTTATAAAGTATTTCTTATAATAACGTAGTTCAGGCATTAAATAAATTTTATCTAAAATTCTACTTTTGCTTCAACGGTTATTTAAAATATAAAAAAAAAACTGCCGCTTTTTTCAAAAGTTCAAAAAATTTGGTTGTATTTTTATCTAAAAAAAAAAGCGGAGTCGACCTCATCTTATAGGATTTTTGATGCTGATTTGAAGTGCGTTTACAAAATTTGTCGAGAACGTCCAATTTTTGAGAAAATGAAACTCTTAAAGTGTCGAAAAACGGCAAAATGTAGTTCTTCCAAAGAAAAAAAAAAAATACATGTGTTAATGAAAATCCAATTCATCTGATGGCTTCTACTTCATGAAAAATTAAAAATTAAATTTTATATGGCTTATTTGCGAAGTTTACGCGGTTACTGGCCATTTACGCTTTTAGATGAATGCCCCTATTGTATCGTTTTCCGAAATTTAAATTAACTCTAAGTGGGTCGTTCTTAAAAAACATGACCAATTGGTGTCCCCAGACTTTACTATTTTATATTTTGTTTCTTCAAAAAGAAAATAGAAAAATATCTGCATTTTTATAAATTATTATCGATTCTACGTAACTATATTATAAAAAAAAAATAATTAATTATCTGAAAATAACTTAAAAAATATTTTCAATGTCAAAGGTTTAGCAAAAACCTGTGTCCCGAGCCAATTTATAAAAATTTAATAGTTATTTTCAGTTGAAATAAAATTGAAAAAAAATAATATTTACAATTTTTGTTATTCAGTTTGTGTATATTAATACCATATATAGAAAAGAATGATGAAAAATAATTTTTTTGTATAATTTTTATGAAGAAAATTTGTGTCCCCAGGTTTTGGTCCCCTCTGTTACGTCCACTCATTTTATTGAAAAATGTTTGTTAAACGTTATGACGCGTATATTTCTCTTATGCTTCTCCATCATAACTTAGCTAAAATCAACAAAATGTGTTTTGAACTGTTCAGTCTTGTTTAGTGCGTTGTTGAGTAAGGAACCCAATTGTATGCCGGGTACGTACCCTTATTCAGTGTCAACTCTGTTACTGTTGAAAAACGGCGAGTAAAGTGATTTTTTATTTATTTTATAATTTTTTTATAAATATTTTATGTACATTAATTAAGTGGACAAATAAATTCTCCAAAATTCGAATAAAAAGCTAAAATATGGTATTTTTGAGTTAATTTGTCCCCTCTGTTACCGGTCCACTCTGTGACTTATTAACTCCAAAAAACTCCAAAAATTAAAAAAAATACTGCTGGTTATGGATTCCTATTGTTGATACCATCCGTAACCACATGAGGCCAATTATAAACATATTTGGCCAACTTAATTTTTAAAAATTACAAAATTCAGAATGGTCATGTTTTTTAAGAACGACCCA